CTGCATACAAGTCCTGATTCCTTAGAACTGAGTCAGTCACTTAAAATCTGTCCTCGGATCTCAGAGGCAGGCCGGTTTTGAGACAAGCCAAAATTGTAGCTTGGAGTATTTGGAGAAATAAGGTGTCCACACATAGGTTCCCACCTAAAGAAGGAAGTTGAGCTTCACGTGAGGAAAGAGGCAGCCCGCGGTTAACAGTGGCTGAACCGAAAGGAACTTCTCTCAGCACAAGGACCCCAGCTCTGGGAGGGTAGATGTACCGGCAGGTGGCTTGGTGGTTGAGGCACTGGATTCCCACAGGGCCACCTACGGTTCAAGTCCCAGACCTGATAGCTTGAAAATCACATCAGGTACACGCGCATGTGTCACAAAATCCTAGGACAATGAAGGAGAATGGATTGCAGCATGACCATCCTCTGGGGGTGGGGGGGTTCACTTTCCCTCTCTCTGTCTCTGTCTCTCTCTCCTGCCCTATGGCCAAAACTCAAAAAGAAAGAGTTCAGGAGGGATTTGGGGACTTGGTAATGTTTGTAATTCACTATCTCACTCCTGTCAGCAGCCTCGGCCTCATCTGCCTCTGCGCATCTCACATAAAAATGAAACTAGTTGTTTTTTTTTTTAATGAGAAAGAATTCTAGGTAGCTTATGAATAACAAGGCCAGAAAGACAGTTTTATGCTTGACCGTGAAAGCAGATTTCTAACCGTGATAACTAGGTCTCTTTTGCCCTGTACTCTTTTAAGGGCCCTTTAAATAGCAACCAGAAGTCGGACAGGAAACAGGTTCACTCGAAGGCGGCAGTGGAGGGAAGTCACTAACCTCTACAAAGATGTGAGGCCTGGGAAAACAGCTCAGGTGGGCACACAGCACATGACCCTGGGGCTCGCACAGGCTGGGAGCCTCTTGTGTTATGGGTTGAACTGTGTCTTCGCACCCCCAAATTCATATGAAGTCCAAACCCCCAGGGTCTCAGACCGTGACCATATTTACAGACAATGTTATTAAAGCGGCGTTGAGTTGAATGCGGTCACTAGGGTGGGCCCAAATCTAGCACGACTGCTGGTTTTTAACCAGAGAACATTTAGGCCCAGCCGTGGTGCTGCAGGCGGTAGGACACCACTCTGCAGTGCTAGAGTGGAAAGCGCCTGTCCCAGGGCCACCTGAAACGCCAGGCATGTCCCTGTGACCCTGGCTGACTGGAAGGCTAGAGGGGTGGTCTTGATGTGATGACATCCTGTCAAGGGTACCTGTTTCTCTGTCTCTATTCCTCTCTCAAGAAATAAAATAATAAGCTTTTTAAAAAGAGGAAATTTAAACACAGACACGTGCACAGAGGAAAGATCGAATGTGAAGGCACACAAAGGGGGCCATCTACAAGCCAAGGTAAGAGGCCCTTAAAGAAACAAACTCTGGGGCAAGCAGATGGTGTAGTGGTTACATTCCTGTACTCCCACACAGTGGACTGTGGTTCGAGTCCCAGACCTGGTGGCTTGAAAATCATGTCAGATGTGTGCACATGTGCCCGGGATCCGTGGAAGAGAAGGGATTGTGGCATGGCTGTCCTCAGGCAGGGCAGGGCAGGGCAGGGTTGGGGACGGATTTGCACTTTCCCCCTGACTATCTCTGTGTCTCTTCCCTCCCACCATTAGGAATTGTGCCCTTTTAAAAATCTCTTAGAAAATTTTTTAAAAAGGGAGGGGGGGAGGCAAGAAACCAACTCTGGCAACACTTTAAACACAGATTATGCCTCTGTGTGTCAGCCCCTCACCTGCGATACTTTGTTGCAGAAGCCCTGGCAGGGAGCCTAGGATAGAGAGGTCCGCTGAAACAAACACACTGGCTTCCTCCACTATTTTGTTGGTCGGTGCTTCCCACTGTCACAGCCCCCTGAGAGCCAGAGGGCCGAGGAGCCTGGTGATGCCAGCCCACAGAGGTCGGACTCCCAGGGCTCCCGCAGGATGGAGAAAGGTGGAGGCTGGATCGGGAGCATCAGGCGGAAAATAGGCGTCACTCCCCACACAGTGCCCTTATCCTTTACTCTCTGCTTCAGAAAAGGCAGAGGGATGAAGACTCGCTGTTGAGTCAGTAGTTTTTTAGGTTAATTCATATTTCGTTTGAGGATCTGCGTTTTCTCTAAGCCAAGCTTAGCCTGACCTCCCTAGCCTGGGAGTAGTGATAATGCCCCAGGAGCAATGATAACCCGGCGCGGGCAATCCCTCCGCCCTCTCTTCACCCACGCCTTCACTGCCGCTCTCCCTTGCCTCTTTCTAGAGTCCCCTGGGCTGCTCCCTGACGTGTCTTCCCAGGCCTTCCTCACTGTCACCCGTCATCCCCACGTCCCAGAGCGAGGCCTGCTCCCGATGCCTGCCACCTAGCAGAAGGCGCTGTCCTGTGGGTGTCCTCAGAGCTCCACTAAAGCCACCCTCCAGGTGACATTGTCTAGGGTCCCCACTGAACCCGACTGCAGGCTGTGACCAGGAGCCAACCCTCAGTCTGCCGCTCTGACTCACCATGCCTCTTCGGCCCCAGAGCAGCCCTGCATACATCCCCAATCCCACAGATCCACCCCCACCTAAGCCACGCAGCACACGAGCCACATTGGCATCCTGGAGACCACTAGGCAACGCAGACACTGAGCCCCTGCGCTCTTCCACCCACACAACCTGTGCACCATTGCTCACACATGCATGGGCACACACACACACACACACACACACACACACCACAGTTCATTTTCTCTTCAGCATTTCCTCAACAACATACCAAAGAAGTCACGAAGGCTGGGCCCAGAGTTTCACCTGGCATGTCTGACTTCCCATGCCAGCCTCGGGTGGGGCCTGGAGGGTGGGAACCAGTGCTGGCTGGATGCACAGGTGGGCACCTCATACCCCTGCACAAAACTGTCTTCCCCATACATATGGGAAAACCAGTTTAAAAAGACAGACATATTGGAAGGACAGGGAACCAGCAGTTAGCGTAATGGCTATGTCGCTGGACTCCCATGTAGTTGACCGTGGTTCGCATCCCGGACCCGGTGGCTGAAAACTCACGCCAGGCGCATGTGCATATGTGCCCAAGATCCCGAGAGGAGAATGGAGGAGAAGGGATTGCGGCGTGACCATCCCCCCTGGGGGGTGCTTTCTCGCTTTCTGTCTCTATGTCTCTCTTTGTCTGCCTGGTGAGCGCCCGCGCCCTATAGCGAAAAACCTCTCCAAAAAAAAAAAAAAAGGACAGTACATACTATATAAAAATGGCAACTAAAAAGATAGAGGTAAAAGCATATCATTTAGTGGTATGCTGGCAACCTCTAGAAAACTTGTTAGTATGTGTCAAATAAGTAACTCTACCTCACACCACAAATAAAAATTAATTTGAAATGGCTCAAAACCTGCCATTTAAGTATTGAAATTATAAAGCACTCTGGAAATAAACCTCGGAGATAAGTCTTATGGGCTTGTCTTTGGCAGTGGGTTCTAAGACATGACCCAAAAGCACAAGCAGCAAAAGAAAAGACAGCTCAATTGCACTTTATTAAAATTGTAGTTTTGCAGGCCAGCAGCTGACGTCGCGGTTAAGGCACTGGACTCCCACATGGCCCACTGCAGTTTGAATCCCAAACCTAGTGGCTTGAAATTCATGCCAGGCACATGTACACGCACCCAAAAATCCCAGGAGGATGGACAGAAGGGGTTGTGGCATGGCCGTCCCCCCAGACGGTGATTTCTCACGTTCCCTCTCACTGTCTCTCTCTGGTGAGTGCATGCGCCCTATAGCAAAAACCTTTAAAAAAAAATTGTAGTTTTCTCTTGGGACCCATGACAACTGCCATGTGAATGAACCCAAGTCACCCCAGTGATGTCAGGTCACCTCAAGATGTGTGCCGGAAGCCATCCGAGCAGCCAGCCCTGGCCACGTCTTTGCTGCAGACCCAAGAAATCCCTAGCTGGCCCAGGAACTGTGAAACAGACAAATGCCGGACAGATTAAGCACTGTGTCTTTGGCATGCCTTGTCATGCAGCACAAGCTGATGTGGAAGGCGACTCCGAAATCTACGACAGCTCTGGGCGCTGTGGAGGATGCTCTCTTTCTACGGGCTCGTGGCCCCCAAGAGCAGCTGCCATTCACACAACACCACGGGGCAGTCTCCAAACGGTCACGTGTGGAGCAAGCAGGTCCACGGGCCTTCAAAGGCTGCGCAGACCCCAGCTGTCCGAGGAGAGGCAGGAATGAACTCGCAAGTGAACCTGCTTCCACCCAGAGCTGACGGCCCTCCGTGTGACCCTTCCTCACACTTCCCCAGCACATGCTACACATGGGCACTGACGCCTGGGGTGGGAGTGGAGGACAGGGGACAGAGGGGGCCAGAAAGGAGGGCAGCCACGCAGCCACCTCTGCCAGCAACTCCCTGCTTCGGAAGACCAGGACAGGGATCGTAACGCCAATTTGAATATTTGCCCCAAAGGGAGCAAAGGTCTCAACCACCGGTCAGAATTTTGGCCAGACTTACTAGACCTCACCTGGGTTATATTCCTCCCCACTTTAGTAACAGAAAAAGAACCTGAAAGTTCAGGACCGCAGCACGGCCGGAGGGGAGGGGCCACATTTGCACGTTGCTGAGTCCGACTCACCAGGGCAGCTGTTCCCTCTCACGTTCGTACTTCTGTTTCTTTTTATTTTTTCCAAATATTTTATTTAATTCCATTTGTTATCATTATTATTTTTCAGTGTGACCAGAGAGAGACAGATTGAGAGAGAAAGGGAAAGTGAGAAAGCAAACTGCCAGGCCCAGGACTCAAACCATGGTTGGCCATGTGGAATCCAGCCCCTTTAACCACCTCACCACCTGCTGGCCCCCGTATTCCTCTTTCTAATACCTGGAAGTCGCAACGTGCCTGGCTCTCGGAGTAGAGGGGTAAGTGTCTGAGTGTCCCTCACGCCCTCCTCTGCAGCTCTCCAATCTACAGGGCCATCAGGTAGCTCTAATCTCGGTGCAACACCCACCTTCAGGTTGTGCGAAGCGCCTCGCTCGCTCGCTGTAGAACTCCGCCTTGGCACTCAGCATCCTGTTTGTACTGGTGGGGTCAATGTCCACCCTCCCACTGACTGGGGCTTGGGATCCCTGCTGCCTCCATCAGAGCCGCAGAACAGCAGGCCTGCAGATAAAGAGTGCTAGTACTCCCTGGAGCCCATTACAAGGAGGAGTGAGAGAGACAGAGAGACTGCCTCCCAGTGCCTCAGCCCTCCCCCGAGGGGGCAAGGTCCACAGATCTCAGATCCACTGGCCACTGCGGGTTACAGGAAGTGGTGAGTTGAACAAAGGTGAAGCTTCAAAAGCTTGCCTCCTCCAGCCAGGCAGGAGCCCCCCACCCACAACATTTCTGTGAAGTCTGTTTTCAGAGACCCAGAGATTCCTCAAGGAGCTTTTTAAGACTTCCTGCTCTGTGCTGGCAAATTGTTAATCAGTTTGTGGCAGCATAAATAAAATTAGAGGGTTTAATTAAAACTAATGAATGAGTGAGAGGAGACCAGCGTGGCCGCCCTGCTCTCTGAGCTTGGAACAGTAAATAATGAAAATGTCACAGAGCAAGTGACGTGCTTTAGCAGAAGTGTGAGGGCAGCAGAAACCAGGCCGCAGAGCGCTCCTCCTCCGGGTGCAATTTGCAAGTTGGTGGAGCCCTCACCATGGTGTTCTTTATTAACTCATTCTGCAGGAACCGGACCAGCTTTCTGCCCTTCCTCCTCCAGCTCCTCCCCAGAGGGTCCCATACAGGGTGCCCGTTCTCCGGCTCGCTCTCATGAAGGAGCCACAGACTCATGAGGAGACCGCACACACACTCAGTGGGCAGGGGTCGGGAGGTCTACCATGCTCACCCTGCAGCACGCAAGAACTGCCCCCATTGTTCTCGGCTTTCAAATGCTTTGCCAGCCGCTCGTGGAGATGAGGAATCTGTGATCATTTGTGCTTCGAGCTGAACACCACGTAAACATAAAGTCCTTTCTGCAGTTTTGCTATTGAAGGCATTTCCCAGAAATGCACCTACTGTGTGCGGGGAGGTAGGCTGGGATTTGGGCAGCATTTCGAAGCCACACCCCTGATGCGTCCCATGGCTGATGTAGCCCACCTGGACCACTCTGCTCCGCAGCTGGTCACACTCGCGGCAGTTCTCCGTGGAAGTACAAGCATCTTGCTGTTCTTTTGTGTGTAGGCCTGCTCGGGCATTTCTACCTCAAAATGAATATTCTTTTGTTATAAATTACTTCCCTTTTGTTTTATTCAGCTAAAGCATTATACTGATTCTGAGAAACTGTGTGTATGCAGGGTGGGGGAGAGCGTTAAGGAATATTCACTAAAGACATGGTGCCTTGGGACATGGGTTTGAAACTCACTGCTCATGTCAACCCTTGGCGTGAAACTCGCGAAGAGAATTTTAGAGCACGTGCTCTCGTGTCGGTCCTCCTACTCCCTGTCCCCACCAGCCCCTCAGCTCTGGTTCAAGTCCCAGGAGATGCGCAGAAGCCACTTCTGGATCACTGGAGCACCTCGTCAGCCTGGGCGTGTCACCCTGGTCTAAAGCCTCCACCCAGCCAGCTGCCGTACTGCCCTCTCTCCAGCTCTCGCTGCACGCCCACACCTGCTCCGGTGCGTGTACCTCCTGAGGAGGCCAAGAACGGTCATTACTAGGTTTTCCTGACTCTCCCGATGCTAGTGTGTCCAGGGAGGAAGGCCACAAAGGTGGAAGTCCTAGGCCAGGGCTGGACAGTGGCATGGTGTGGTAGGCAGGATTCTAAGATGACCTTGAGATTTCCTCCCCTGCCTCTGCCGTTCTTGCAGCTGCATTCCAGTTAGCTCAGTCTGGCGCCTCTCCCTCCACTGTGCTGTCACCAAGAGCGTTTCCAGTCAATTTCCTCACCTGAGAGTCCACTTCCCAGAGAATGTGACCTGAGACAGCGGGGGCCAGGAGTGCTTCTAGGAAGCAGACTGTATGTGAGATTTGGGGCTGTGTCACCACTGGTTGACAGTGAGACCTCATAACTGGGATAGGTGGAGCAGGTCGTCCCTAACAGGCTGAAGCAGCAGAATTGTAAAAACTTACATAGCCATGAACGGGAATGAGAGCAGTGAAAAGACGTTGCAGGTGCAATGATTCGAGCATCTGAAAAGTAATCACTAGGCAGACAACACACTGGCTGGCCCTTACTGAAAGTCTGTGCCACCTGACTTTGAGTGGGCTCGGAATCCAACTCGGGCCTCCCATGTGGCCTCAGCCTGCCAAGCAGCTGTATCCAGCATGTCCTACTATGGCTGGCATATAGCTTGGGTTTTTTGTTTGTTTGTTTGTTTGTTTTTTAAGGATTTTATCCCATAGAGCTTGTGTGCTTACTGAAGAGAGATAGAGAGAGGGAAAGTGAGAAATCACCTGTCACCTCACCCCAGAGCAAACGGCCACACCACAATCCCTTCTCCTCCAGTCTCTTCGTGGGATTTTGGGCACACACATGTGTCAAGTGTGATTTTCAAGCTGTTGGGTCCAGGACTCGAACCACAGTCAGCCATGTGGGAGTCCAGTGCCTTAACCACTACACCACTACACCATCTGTTATCTCCCCACATAGCCCATCTTTAAAGCAAGCAACAGAAACTCTCTTATGTTAAATCCCTTTCACACTTCAAATATCTTTCATCAAGAAGAGCCTATTCCCTTTTAAAGATCTGCCTAATTAGGTCGGGCCCACCCAAAATAACCTCCCTATCTTAGGGTCAACTTAGTTGGGATTTTAGTTACATCTACAAAATCCCTTTGCCATATGACTTAACATAATCAGACGAGTGGCGTCATAGCCATGGGTTCTGCCCATACTCCAAAGCAGAAGAGAGAGGGTCGTCTTAGAATGTAGCCTCCCTTGAAGAGCTGTGGTAAAGAGTGAAGAACGCTGAGGACGCGCTCCGGCACACGGCCCTGGCCCACTGTTGGCTGTTAGCGCTGTGGTATCAGACGCAGACGCCTAGGCCTCTTTCAGACCACTGGAACCACCGTCCCCAGGCTGGGCCAGGAATGGACCTATCTCCCCAGGCCCCTGGGGATCTGGCACCTGCTGAGAGGCGGCCCCCAGGGTCCAGACTAGGTGGCCTTTCTGCCTCAGCCCCTCTCTAGGAAGCCCCTGTCCTCCTTCCTTGCTCTTCCCATGAGGCTCCCTGGCTGTGGCCTGTTCCTTCCCTGCATTTCCCTCCACCTCCCAGTTACTTCCCTCCTGTCTTGTCCCATCTTGCTCACCAGAACTGTCAGGGAGTCCAATATTAACAGTTTTCCCAAAGTTACATTGTTTCTTCTTTCCCCTGGAGAGATGGTACCATAGTGTATTTGTAGCTGGCTGTAGCTGGGGTCAATAGGAAAGAGCTACATGGACGGGAGGGGAACTGGAGCCAAGGTGCGGCCATCAGCGAATGTCCCAGGAGAAAGCCCAGTTGCATGAAACAGTGTTTGAGAAAAGGATGCAAAACCCTCTCAAACAATTAACACCTTGGGATCACACAAGCTTTAATTAAAAAACAGAAAGTCCTTATTAGGGCTGAGGGCTGGGAATCACAGACAGTGTGGTCTGTAGGCTGTTTTCTGGCTGCTAAGGAATTGAGACCTTAGGTCCAGCAGAGAAAATGCCGTGTTCAGCAAGTTTCCAAAGTGGGAGCAATTTGGGAAGTAGTTCGGAGATCAATTCCCTGCCCAAAAGGTCTGAGCAGACCCAAACCAGAATTTTTATACAAATGATTAAAAATGAAAGTAAAAATTTCGTCAAAGCAGAGGTGTGCACACAACATATTGGCCCCTTGGTGTCATTTGAAGGAAATTAATGTGGAAGGCCAAAGAGATGGCGTCTGCAGTCTGCAATGCCCCAGAGCCTGCTCGGGCTTTTGTTCCTGGTACAGCAGAAATGAACGCTCACGGCAGACCTTCGGGGAGGGGCAGGCATGTGCATAAGTGAGATTAATCAGCGAGGCTGGCGTGGTCTAATGAGTCATCCTGACACTATAACACTGGAAAACACGAGGCCACAGCGTGGCCGATCTCTGTGTTCTCAGAAGAAAAACAGCGGCTGCCCGAGCGTGCGGCTACGGTGCCCTGGGGCACACGCGCAGCAAGATGGGCAGAGAGGGGGCGACTACAAACCCAGGCTGTGCCCTCGGGTTATCGACCCAGCATGTGAGGAGACTCAGGGCAGGGTGTGGGGTGGGAGGTTGGAGGGCTCCTGCACCTGCTCCCCTCAGGAACCCTTCTTCTTTCCATTCCAGTGAAGTTCCCAGGGGTCTGTGTTTCCATCTGAACATTGTCTTTCAGGACATCAGGGACACAGGACCAGCTCCCAGGAGGTGGGGAGGAGGACACAGTGGGGCTGGGATATTCGGCGTTACCCCCACCGTGGACTCAGGTGCATTCAGGGCCTGCTCAGGGCCGGGCTGCCTCAGGTGGTTCACAGCGTGTTTTCATCTATCCCTGGACGACTCTTCAGTATTTGCATCATCCCGTTTCAGGGAACCAGCCCAAGTCCTGGCTGCACAGCGAGTACCAGGGGAAGGCGAGGTCTTGAGCGCGCCTGGGAGGGTCTCGCATTCCT